TTTGTTCTTTCAACCCTGTCCACTCCTCCAAAAGCTGGCCCTCCAGTGAGGTCTCCTTGTTGAACCACTTGAATGAGCTCTGTCTTCTGCAGAGACCCTGACTGGAACATGATATATTAAGTGATATTTTGCTATTTGCCTTTTTACTTAATATGCCTTAGAGGCTTTCTAGATCCTTCCTTGAATGGTTACATACAGGATGTGGTTAACATGTGGTGGATATCTAGCTTTCTCCCCGCGTTCTCTTGGTATTAAAATCAATGCTGCAGTGAACATCCTTGAATACCTTTTCCTACACACATGCAAGCATTTTCCTAAGGTGCATTCTGACTTAAAGGAATATGCATGTAAGACTTTATAGATACCCCTAACTGTTATTGTGTATGCTAGGTGTCGTATTACATGAAATACTGTGTGTAAACAGTGTTTTGTGAAGTGCTGCATAAATGTTTTTCAATGTAAAACTCCCTTGGAAAATACATGCTCTTCTGTTCAGCCATCATGTAATATTAATTATAACAAACAAATCTTGATGCTTATTCTATCTTCTTTTTAAGTGAGAAGCTGGGCAAAATAACACCAAAAAACACAGCATGCTCATGTGTGTGTAAACAGGGGGACTAGCATGGTGGGTAATCACACGTGCCTTTGCCCCATCTTGCCTTCTTCTGTTCATGGATCCGTCCTTCCTGCCACAGGGTTGGGTGGACATGTGATCAGCCTGGGCCATTCATGGTCGACCTACTCCACTGGTCAGGATTATTGGCGAAAGGAGAGAACATGAGAGGCAAGACAAATGCCATTCTACCGTCCTTCCATTATCATTTAAGCTGGCTGGTGTTGAGTTTCTATCCACTGCTACCAAGGGTCCTAACTAACAAGGTTGACACAACTTTTAAAATCATTTGCAGCTTTTAAATGGGTACAATTGAAACTTACGAGCAAAGTTACCACTCGCTCCTGTGTTCAGGAAAAACGTTTGTCCCACGGCGCTGGTGTTGCCCTGAAATTGGTCAGCATAGTGCCCCATTTTGGGGCATCCTGTGACTGGACAAGGAAAACAGCCATTCTAGTGGAAAAACAAAAATTTGTCTGTGAGTGGTAGGCCTTTCATTCATTCACTCACTCAATTGATCAATTCATCTTCCCATCCATCCATCCATCCATCCATCCTTCCCTCCCTCATCCATCCACTCATCCATCTAATCATCTTTCTATCCATCTATCCCTCTACCCTCCATCCATTCATTAATGCATCCATCTCACGCATGCCATGCAGGCATCCTTTGAGAATTTTTCAGAATGAAAAGTTGGGGATCTAGGGAAGGCCCCCCCGGTCAGGTCTGTGCCATCTGCCGCCTGCCCACCCCGCTCCCCGGAAGAAGAAGGCTCTGTGAGGTTCAGCGTTACCAGCACCTCCTCATACTCATCCTGGAGTTACATCTCTGCTCTGTTCCAAGCCACAGGGACAAAACCAACAACAGCAGAGTCACCCCACCCTCCCCAGGCCCCTGGGGAGACCCACCTCCTGAAACTCCTCGTAGGAGGCACACGGGTAGCCCAGGAAGCCATCGGGGTTGAGGATGCTGCTGGAGTAATACTTGTGGCTCCTCATGTGATTGCAGAATACAAGGTTTCGGGTTACTGAGGAAGCAAAAGCCATGGGAGCTCACAGGAGACTCTCACTTTTGAAGCTTGAAAGTTCTGATCTGAATAAGGAGGCACCTCCTCGTTTCATAGAGGGGAGTCAGCATTCCCGAAGGCCTCGCTCCCAATTCCAAGTTCCTGTCATTGACTTTCACATACTTTGGGGAAAATACTCAATGATCAACATTTACAGCACATAGAGGTGGTATCTGGGGCTTCTTTAGTCGTGGGGTTTGGCTCTGGTCGCGTTCCTCTGTCCCCCATGTGCCCGAGTGCTGAGCAGGGCCTGCTTGGGGCTGTGCACGTGCTGAGGAGGGACGAGTTCTAACAAGGACGTGTTTCCTATCCTCCAGGGGCCAATCTTCAGACAGAAGTGACGGATGAGGGCTGGGGTCCTTGGGGAGACTGAGAAAAATATATACAGAAAGGAGAGAGAGAGAGAGAGAGAGAGAGAGAGAGAGAGAGA